TCTAGGGTTTAATTCCTATCAATCAACAAAATGAGTTTCACACTACTCCCGGCCAGAAGAGTTAATATACACAGCACCACAGGTCATCAGAGAAGTGCTTAAAATAAATCCAAGAGTGGGTGAGTATTGCTACATTTTGCCATCCCCTGTATTGTTCTTCTAATTTTGTAAAGCCCCAATCACTGAAGGAATTACTAGAGGCACTTAAGTTGTCCTACTGATCCTAGCACCTTTCATCGAACTCGGGCAGCTCTAAGGAGCTGTTCAAACACACAGGGCTGTCCCTTGGAAACATTTCGCTGCTGTTATGAGTCCCTGATGTCCCCCAGAACAGGGAAATATTTGAGCAGGTTTTTAAACAGAGGACAAATAAAAAGTAGATGTCTTTAAAAATACAGGCCTCCGAGGCATCTCAGGTTTCCCCCTCTGTAGCGAGCACAGAAGACTGCTTATCTTGGCTCCAAAACAGATTGATGTGTTCAGCCGGAAGATTCACTATAGCTGACAGAGAACATTTCCTTCGTCGTATTGCTTCACCATGCAAGGAGATAACTCAGACTAATAATATTCTGTCTCCTTTTTATCCTCCTATAGCCTACGCATAACTTAATACTTAATTCCAAAGGGCTCGCAGAGGAGATTGGCCCGGTGCTAGTTTCATTTACACACATATAAATCAAAACTCAGTCTACCGGAATTGATAGCACTGCACTAGTGTTAAAAAATAAAATCATCAGCGAGGCCAGAAAATTCCCCCTCAGCTCCTCCAGTCATAAACACCATGTTATCCTAGATTCAGTCACGCCCTCCAAATTTCTAAACATCGCATCCCATTTAAATTTGCATATAAATAGGAGCTATCCTGATTCACAAGAAATACAGCTTTGCCTACCCAGAAAGCATTAGTGCAAATGTAAAATAAGCAGAAAATGGCAGAGTGGTAGAAACCTGGCATCCGTGGCAATTATCTTTACTTCTAAAGAATAGCGTCTTCATTTCTTAGTAACTAATTATAGTGGAACTGTTTGGAAAAAAGGACCTCATAATACGCCTGAAAGAACCAGTGTACAGCACCGAACCAGGACCACTTTTGTCCGCAGTGTCAGATACCCACTTGCAACCTCCTCCTAGTACCCAAGCCTGCAGGATCAGGCTTTTGAATCTTCCAGGACCCCTAAGTTACCCCAGGTACTATGGACTGCAAGGGTACCATTTTGGGATATGAACAAACCGCGTTCCTAGATCTGAAGTCTTAATCCCCAAGCAGTAATCCTCAGCCACCCAGGAAACCCCACTGACTGCAGGCACCTGCCTGACCATGACTCACAGCTGCATCAAAGCCCTCCCTATTCTGCTCTAACTCAAACACACATTGCTGCTTTCAGAAACCCCACATTATTATTCTGGTTTTGAAGGAGGAATTGCAGAAAGCTGAATCAGAAACTTTGAAAACCACTAGCAAGACCCTGGTTTTACTTACCCTAATCTATCATCATATTTCATCACCAATCTCATACCTGCTCAAAGCTCCCAGCAATGTGCCACCTCTGCCCCCTCCATTAAGATATAAAACAAGGGTTAAGTGACAGATAGTATCAATGTGGATAGCAATCTGTCTCACTCAGAAACCATTGCGCCAGGAATAAAGAAAGAATTATTATACTGGTGTCAATATGATAAATTACAGTCTCTTTTTTTCCCTAAAGAAGAATTTCTAGCTTTTCAACTAGCACAGAAAACTCTCCCCCTTTCAGCACTCTGAGCATCAAAGCAGTTTCTCCTGACATCCTGTTTGGAGTCTCTGCTAATGAAACTGTTTATTTTGGTGGATGGCTGGTCATCATAGAATCAGAATGGATTGGGTTGGAAGGGACCTTAAAGGTCATCTAGTTCCACCCCCCCTGCCATGGGCAGGGACACCTTTCACTAGCCCAGGTTGCTCAAAGCCCCATCCAACCTGGCCTGGAACACTGCCAGGGATGGGGCATCCACAACTTCTCTGGGCAACCTCTTCCCGTGCCTCACCACCCTCACACTGAAGAACTTCTTCCTTACACCTAATCTAAATCTACCCTCTCTCAGTTCAAATCCATTACCCCTTGTCCTATCACAACAGGCCCTACTAAAAAGTCTGTCCCCATCTTTCTTACAAGCCCCCTTTAAGTAATGGAAGGCTGCTCTAAGGTCTCTCCAGAGCCTTCTCTTCTCCAGGCTGAACAACCCCAACTCTCTCAGCCTGTCTTCATAGGGGAGGTGCTCCAGCCCTCTGATGCAGTTATTCATTGCAGCACTCATCTTGGATTAAATATGAACTGGGAGCCAGTGATATGAATTCAAACTGTTCTTTCCATGTATTTGTTTCCAAGAAGAAAAGTTTGAAAGCTCTGTTGGTTGCCCTTGTTAAAGTGAACAAAATGTTTAGGAAAATGAGTTTTCAGTGTTTTCTCACACCACACAGGTTACACAATCCCACGTGCCAAACCCATGAAGTTTCTGGTCATGTTTCCCTCCTACAGCAGTGAGTTCACAGCTGCGGCACCAGACAAAACAGGACTAAGAGGAACCTAAAGAAGTCACCTCCTGATTCATCATCCCCTCTCCCTAACATTTATACCCATGCCAGAGGTTTGCCTATAGAGTTATGGAGGAATCTAAGAAGAAATTATATTAGTTATTCTAGTGCTAATGGGAATCCATTAGAAATTTTTTCTTCATGTCCAGTCTAAGCTTCCCTTGCTTCGGTGTAACACTTTTGTTTCTTGCCCTAACCCTACGAACCCTTTCTTTTTGCAGCATCACAACATGCTTTCAAAGACTCTTCTCACTCTCTTCTGTTCTCTACGCTGAGCAACCTCTACCCTTTTAATCCTTCCTTGACAGGCCACTTTTTCTAGACCTCTGATCACTCTTGCTGCTTTCTGCTCCACACTTCTCCATGTGTAATGTCCCAAACAGGAACCAGTATGCTGGTTAGTGTCTCCACAGAACCAATCTGCAAGGATCCTTGGGAAACTGGTGAAGGTGCTTCATGAGTAGCCAGTCCCTCACTGCTGGGCACATATTCATGATGGGAGGTTGTACCGCAGGGGAAGGAATAGTCTCTGGTGTAACTAGAGAGATGTCCTTCAAAGGCTTCAAACATCAGGGCAGAACAAGACTTTGCAGCAGGGACCAGGAGGAGGAAAGCTTTTTTAGTGTTTCTAGAGAGACAAGCAGCTGGGTCTTGTATTAGCTCCTTCAGCACGCACCTCTGTCCCCCAGCTTCTGCATCATCAGAGAAAATTAACTGCTGGACTGATTCAGAGCGATGCAACTAAAAGCAGCATCAAAGATTGAGCTAATCGATTTAGTTGTGTGGGAGTGGGGAACAGAAGGGATGTATCTTGCTATTGCTGCCACCTCCGTGAGGGAAGACCAATTAATACAAGAGGTTGACATGTTAGAAGGTAATTTTTGCTGTGCAATTGCTTGCAACCCCAAGCAATGTCATATCTTCATACTTGCGACCATGCAAAAAATGATAAGATGTAAGGGAGCAGTTTCATTACTGCAGCAGCTGGAGGGGGATTGCCAAGCCCTGGGACATGCACTCCCAGGGAGTGACCTACTGCTCCCCCAGCCCTGCAGCATGTCCGTAATCTCTCTCACAATATGGCTGAAAATAGAGCTGGCTAGAGAAAAAAAGGGGAGTGGGTGGGGAGAAAAGCAAACTAATTCAGCTTATTACTAAAACCTTGATGAGCAAAAGTCCAATGCAGAAAAAAAATGCATTGCCAGAGGACTTGTGAAGTCTAGGAAATGAGCACTGGCAGATCTGGCACACGCGGCTGCGTTTGCCCCTTGCTCTGCGCAGCCGAGCGATGAGTCTCCAAACAGCCCTCGACTCTCTTCCATACCAAACACGGGACCTTTGTTCTCTGCACATTGTGTGTTTAAGGAACTGAGGGCGTTTCTGGGCCCCTACCTCTTCACTTCTGGATGCAGCCAACTCCTCTGCCCTTTAGGTGTCAACTTCACACTCTGCAAAAATATGAGCACTGTTTAACAGGTCATACCTGGGGTTTAAAAAAAGAGGGAGCTCCTGGATGGCACAGAGTGCGTTATTGCAACCCTGAACATCCCTTCTCAGCCCCTCACTTGCCCTGGGATAACCTTCACCTCAATAACCAGTGCAGTGGCAATTGAGTAAAGATATTTGGCAAGCTTGAAAATAGGGAAAGGAAGCTGGATGAAGGGGTACATAGCCTTGTACTCTTGGAGGCATTAAACATTGGTTCAGAAATACCTACCTGGGCACTGAACCCTATAAACTGTCTCCCAAAGCTTGCAAAGATAAATATACACTGGCAAAAGACCTTTCCTCCAGCATCCCTGGGAAAGGGATGGAGACCTGCAGATTGGAGGAGGGACATGGGAACTAATGTGGGGAAAGGTGCTGGTTTACAATCAGAACCACTTGAAATGACTTTCTTTGAAAGCTTCCCTCTTATTCCACCCATGTTCCTTCCCAAGCCCAGAGAAAGCTCTGGAAAGTGCTGGAACAGGAAGATCTGCATCCTCACACAGGGCAGGCTCTCCTCCCCAGCAACTACAGTCCCCTACCTCAGCTCTCCTGAACTTCCCACAAGGTATTAAAAAGCAACAGCAGTCTCTCTCCAGCTTGCTATATTTAGCTGCAGACCTCTAAGCTCTGTCCTCCCTTTGCACTCCTCTAGAAGAGCCATACAGTAACATGGGGAACAAGAGCTGCTCCTCATTACTGTCATGAGCCTGAAGCTCGGGTTTGCTCGCACTGCCTCCCCTCTGGGGCTCCTGCATTGCTGCATGTGCGATAAAAACCATCAGAGTATACACACGAGGAGGAAGGGAACCCTTTTGTTTCTCCGTCCCAAGAACTGAAGGTACTAAATGTTAATACTTGGAAATCAGCAACTGCCAAGAACAAGTTCCTCACCCACCCATCCACCCTAAGCTTTGAAGTGTTTTCTTTCTAGCTTTACCTTGGCACGCTGGCCAAATAAGTCACAAGTTTCCGAAGGTCTTCCTGCCTTATTCTGTCGTGATTGCTGCGGGCTGGGAAGGTCAAGACAGGACCACCTCGTTTATCACGGCCACCTGCGGAAAATAAAGGATTGTTAGAAAATCAGGCAGGAAGCACACGTCAAAAAAACTATGTGCACTGAATTGATAAACATAAATTACGGCACATTCAAGAGCCCGTGCACTCTTTGTAGCTTCCAGGCTTGCCTAATTGAGGAAGACATGCTTGCATTTGCTGGAGCTCCAAAGCAGGGGAAATAAATAAAAAAAAAATAAATAAACAAGCCCAACACACAAGGAAAATTGCTACTAGCATTTCTTCTGGTTTTCACCTAATCCCTTCAAATGTAATGTAACTGCCAATCCAAGCAGGCAATGCTAACGAAATCTTACTGCGGGGATAGCTTTAAACTGGTCAACACCAAGAAAGTGAAAGTATTTTTCACTGGTACTCAGTGTGTTGCATTGTTCATTGCCAGAAAGTCTACAATGTCCTGCCAGTGAGAAGTGATGTATCCCAGTAATGTTTATGCAGCAAGACATTCTAATCTATCTGGCAATTCATTAGAAATTGAAATTTTGATTAGAAGTTCATGCCTCCTATGCTTTCTATTTAGAGAGTGTTGTTGGCAATTGGAATGATTTTTGGTTTGTTTTTTTCCTGTAGCTTTCCTGTCTTAAAATCCACTCCTTTTAAACCGCCAGTGTCTGGCACTTCATCATTTACAGCAATTGTCTAAAGGCTTAGCCATAAAGGAATGACTCTACCCTGAATTATACAATCACAAATATAGGGGTGAATACAGTCTATTCTACAGCACCTTATTTTATTCTCTGCTGGGAATAAAGTTTAATAAGCTTGAAACTGAAGTCTAGTGCCTCAATGTTTAGTTCTTTCTTCACATATTATCACAGGATTTTTTCAGGAATTGCGTGTTGTTAGATATGTGTTCGCATTGTTATCTAGGAAAAAAGTCATAGCAAAATTACAGTCCAAAAAACTAGCATAGAACTGCAAAGACCTTGAAAATAAGCTGTAAAAATGCAGATGAGTTCGTGCTTTTCAATGGAAAGTATAATCCTGTTAACAGAAATATCACTTCTGAGAAAGGAAAATCACGTGCTTCTCTGAACTAATTTACCTGGCCAACAAGAAGAAAAAGCTACACTAGGACACGCACATCTCCAGCACAGATCCATGCTGCTTTCTCTCATGCAGAACACAGGACTCTGTGGGGCATGACTTCTGTAGGGGTCCTAAACACCCTAATTCAGTAGGAAGAGCCCTAAGAGACTCTGCTGTAAAAGTAGGATTGGCATGAGAGCACATGTGCGCTTGGAAAAACAGTATCCTGGATCACCACAGGGCAAAGAATTTCTCTGGGCAGAATTTAGATCAGGAATCAAGGAGGTGCCTCATATGGCAGGAGTTCCTGCAGGAGGACAAACCAGAAAACAAACTGATGAGATACACGCATGTACCCCCAAGGCACAGGTTTTCTAGCTGGCCCTGCATACAGAACAGAGAAGTCACTTATAGATCCAGCTCCCATCTCTCAACGTACCCCTGTCCAGTCCATTTTATTCCGAAACCGTCCATTCAGTTGATGTCATGATAGGTACTAGCTCACAGCACAAACCTTCTAGCACAAAGTATCTCTCTATGTGCTCACAGTCACACAGAAGCAGCTAAAAATAGCAATATTGTTATTATATACACATTTTGTTCAAATATATATATATTTTTAAAAATTGCTAAGTCCTGTCTAAAGAGTTTTCTACAGCACTGCAGATTGTACAAGTCAAAGTCTGTTACATAAACTTCATCTATACAGATAGAGATGCCAGTGTTACCCTATGTGTTACAGTTTGTCAGCATTGAAATTCCCACAGTTTTCAATGGACGTTATATACCTGAAGGGCTACATCGTGCAACTCTCCCCTGGAGCCAGGTCATGTCCGATTTGTCCAGGGGTATAAATGGAGAGACAAACAAAAGATGCCATCTTCATTTTGAGCCCTCGTGCAGCCAGGGGTGCATATGGAGTACAAAAACTGTCCTGCCTAATCTCCACCCAAATCTCTGTGCCTCATGTTTGCCTTTAGCACCGCACCATGAAGGTGAGGAAGGTCCATGGGAATTCGGTGTCGGCTTGGCTGATCCATGCCTCTGCCACATAGCATGAGAATGGGGGTGTAATATAACAAGGATTCAATTTACAAGGAAATAAGCTCATTTTTATTTTCAGATCTATATACATATATATTTATTAAAAAAAAAAAATCCTTATTTTAAGCACATTCTCCCTTTGTTGAGATTATTTCACACACCGTAACAATGCCAAAACCATTATATCATGCATGATGTGTCCAACAGAAAAGCAAGCCAGCCTATAGAATGGCAAACCAATGTAGTAACTAAAGCTGGGGGGAAATATTTTTTCAACACAGGAAGCTTTTCAAGGTTTTGAAAAATTTCCCGTCATATCAAGATGTAACCAAGGCTTTCAAAAGCTTCCAAATATTCACTGAAGCAGAGACCTGAACTTGAACTGCATCCCAGAAGAACATGCTACCCGCTACTCAGTCAGGCTCCCTCTCCTCCTCCATTCCCAATTAATTAAATATTACTACAAAGTGGAAAAGCACTAAGAGATGAGATCAGGAGACATCCAAGCCCACAGTTATAATCCTCTCCCAGGATATGAAACACCTGGGAAGGGCCACAAGCAGGTAAGCAGCAGCCCTGCAGCCCTGATCGCTCTGATGCTGCCCGTTCACATTGGCTTGGTAAACCAAAAATTGTGTTTCTGACCAGGGACCTCTTTCCCACCTACAGTTCCACCAAAGTGAGCTCTGGGGAAGGAGGAAAAAAAAAAAAAAAAAAAAAAAAAAAAAAAAAAAAAAATCTAAATTCTGGTATGCTGAAAAAGTTAAATCAGAAAATTCTTGACCCTTTTACTAAGAGTAACACAAGGATTTCAGCTACAGAAAAGGAAACAGGGTCCAGAACATTCCTGCCCTGTCTTCGCTTCAGGATAAAAATTGTCCCTCAACAGTTCATCTACAGTGTCCTCAGGGGAGCTGGATAAATAAGGCTCTAGCACAGAGTCAGAAGTTACTAGGACAGACCAGAGGAAATGGGTTAATTCTCGTTGGAGGAAGAAGGTTACATGATGACCCAGTTGGAGGTTTCTGGATGATGGAAGGATAAATAAGTGCCTGGACCGATTCCTTCTAGTCCTATGGCACAGAAAAACAAGGAAACATGCGGCAACTCTCAAGAAATGTGAGGTTTAGAAACAAATGTTTCTCATTTGTGATAAAAGTACAGCTCTATGCTTTGAGCAATAGGGTGAAATTATTATTACAAGTGCATCGTACATATTAAAATCCTTCACTTGTTTCCAAATTATTCATGAGCAATCCCTAATTTTTATGAATGCCTGCATAATTTACAATTTTATGAAGAGCCTTCATGAAGAAACGTCAGGTTTCTTCCAGAACAAACCACGGTATGTTTAATTCACCATAAGACTTGCAGAGTTCAGTAACTGTGGTTTACTCTCTTAAATACTAATAATATGTAGCTTTTCCATTGCACTTTATAACTGCAAATCTCAGCTTTTCTAGGCAGACTAAATGAGATGTTACCACCATCGAACTTTAGACACCTAACATGCCTATATTAGGACCCTCATCTCCTTTAACAGAGGCTCCAGACAGGTAGCAACAGCAACTAAAAGAGAAAAAAACCTTTTGGCATTGTCTATACAGGGAGTCTATACCTTTCCTCTTCTTTATTATTAACTCCTTTTTTACTGAGGGGAATAATGAGGTACAGAGAGGGGAAGAAATTCAACCCAGATCCCACAGCAAGCCACTTGAAGAACCAGGAGCAGAAATTAGGTTTTCTGACTCTTAGTCCACTGTATTAGAGCTTCATAGTGCTTAGGCTAAAAGTCAGCAACTAAAAACACTACAGAAACTCTGTCTCTGCTTGTTAGTAATCCACCCAAGGAGGCTAATGTTGCTCCAAGTCAGCCAATCTTGCCCCAAGTCAGCCATGATCTCAACACCAATTTTATATGCACAGTCTCTTCAGAGAACTACCCGGCACATTGTTTCAAAAGAAAATAAAAAATGGAAGGAAGTAGAGAGTCTCAATTGCTCTAATCAGTGTGTCCCATCTCCTGCCTCCCACTGGGCTCACAGACATGGGATGCAATAATCAAACATGTCTTTAGGTTTGCTAATTACAGTTATTAAATGCTAAAACAAACAGCTGATAATTTCTAATTGTTTTTCAAGGTGGGTTTTCATGGGCTTTGCTCTGATTTAGGGAGACAAACAGATGGCCTAGTTATTAGTGGTCTGGAAAAAGGAGTCAGAAAAACACACATTCTTCAGGGCACAAAGTACACTGAGAACAAATATTTAGCCATATATCTCTTGCATTCCTCCTACAAAATCCTTTGTTGATGGCCTTGCCTGTCAGTGGCTTGCTTGCCAGTTCTTCCCATCTCCCTTTCTTCTAGCCTATACAGAAACCATTGCTAAATTCAGCATTTGTTCCCAGAAGTAGGCATTTGTTCCCAGAAATAGGATTACATCATTTTTTTCTCCTCAAATCATACAGGGGATATTGCAGTGATGGCATAAGGCATCGTGATGCATACCACATTAAAAGAAAACATTAAAGAAACCTCAAAAAACCTACATGGGAAGCAGGCAGCATAGTCAGTGACCTGATAACCACTTTTCTGGTCAAGCCTGCAACTGAGAGGAAAGGGACTCCAGCCATAAGATCCCTGTCCTGGCAGCTGCCTAAACTGACATCTTAATCGTTTCAGTGGTGGGCCCAAAGGTTTCTGCCTATGGTGGCTCCAGCTGCCCACGGGTAAGTCAAGATGTTGGCCAACCCCAAGTGTTACTTATGTGAACTCAGTGTACGGGTTTTCCCAATTTCAAGTCCTGAGGCACAACCATCCCTAATAATATACAAAAAGCTGAAATGCCAGCTTCGTGTAATCCTGTTTAGGACAGGAAATTATCAGTTTCCTTTAATGCAGACT